TATTGAGTAAATAAATAAATAAATTTTCCCTAGGATTCTTATCTTCTATTCCCTTGTTCACAACTCTTTCCATTCTGCCTGTATTGTAACAAAAATAGTGATTTTCACATGTTCACAGAGGAGTAGTGAAAACTACTAAGACTAGTCTAGAGGAAAAAATGAGAAGCAGGGATCTGGAAGAGGCTCTTCAAATGACCCAGCAATAACTTCTCATAGCATTTCAGTCTAGCAAGTATTCCCATTCAACAATGCAGCACACCATCTTTTGGGATGTCTGCCTTGCTCAAGAATGGACACAGTCACGGTTGTTTTTACTCTTTCCCACCAACACCCAAATACCTGGTTCAAGGGTAGGCACTTGACCCAAGATGGGATAATTAGATTCTAGTTCCCAGATATTTGAGTTTAAGAATTTATCAGGAAACAAGGCCAGCGCCGCAGCTCAATAGGCTAATCCTCCGCCTAGCGGCGCCGGCACACTAGGTTCTAGTCCCGGTTGGAGCACCAGATTCTGTCCCAGTTGCTCCTCTTCCAGGCCAGCTCTCTGCTATGGCCCAGGAGGGCAGTGGAGGATGGCCCAAGTGCTTGGGCCCTGCACCCGCATGGGAGACCAGGAGAAGCACCTGGCTCCTGGCTTTGGATCAGCGCGGTGCGCCGGCCACGGCGGCCATTGGAGGGTGAACCAACGGCAAAAGGAAGACCTTTCTCTCTGTCTCTCTCTCTCTCTCTCTCACTGTCCACTCTGCCTGTCAAAAAAAAAAAAAAAAAAAAAGAATTTATCAGGAAACAATTACTAGGGGAAGCAGCCAATGACAAAGCAACAAGACAATTTATGTATCACCTCTATTCAAAACTCTCCTTAGATACCTATCCCAGTAAAGTGAAAGTCAATTTTAAGTCCTACATGCTAGTATCTTCTCTACACAGCCCATTGGCCCCATGACCTCTGACCTCTTATTACATTTTGACTCCCTCTGTCTTATTCACTCAATGCAGTGAAGGTGCTCTCAGGGTTCTTTCTTGAATATTCTGATTTAGAGACTTCACATTGGCTAGTTCTACTGCCTGGAATGCTCTACCCACAGAGTATATGCATAAGGTTAACTCCTTCTTTACTCCTTCCCTAATATCAGTCTTCAAAACTGCAACTTGCGGTCTACTAACCTGGCTCTACTTTTTCCCTTCCAATTTACTATATTCTCCACAATGCTTACAAGCTCCTAGTTATGCCATAAATGTATTATGTGTTTATTTGCTTTCTTCCTGTCTTTCTCTATCAAGGTAACCAGAATGTGAGCTGTATAAAGGATTTTTTTTTCCTATTTCTTTCCCCTGCTTTCACCAAACAGATAAAATAGTGCCTGGCTTACAACGGGTACTCAGTAAACATTTGTCAAATAAATGCACACATGCTTGGTCAGAAGCATGCCAACATAGTGAAAGCTGATCTGTGGTAAGAAGAATGAAGCAGGCATGTCTGGAAACTGATGAAAAACCATGTGGTTCTAGAAAGAGAATAGCTAGCTGTTTAAGACTGACAATTTCTCATTCTTTTAACGCATATCTGCCAAATTTAAATTACCTCAAGTTTTTCCCATATTGGATAAACATGATTAATTGCAAGACACTTCAGCTTCACATCTTTTAAATTTCACAAACCATGAAGAATAATTACTTTAATATCCCATAAAAAATTACTAAGATGTTTGTATTATGTCTGCCAGTGTGAACAGTAATTTAGCAAAATGGAAAACAAAACAAAACCAAAAAAAAAAGCGTTATCACTGGGCTGAAAAGAGTATTCTGGGGTGGCATTGTGGTACAGTGGGTTAAACTGTCACCTGCATCCCATATGAGCATACATGCTCCACTTCTCTTCCAGCTCTCTACTAATGTGCCTGGGGAAGCAGAAGATGGTCCAAGTCCGTGGACTTCTGTCATGCATGTGGGAGACCTGGATGGAGCTCTAGGCTTCCAACTTTGGGCAGGCTGAGCCCCAGTCATTGTGATCATTTAGGGAGTGAACCAGCAGATTAAAGATCCCCCTCGTTCTGTAACTCTGTCTTTCAAATAAATGAATTAATCTTTAAAACAAGAAAAAAAAGTGAGCACTCTACTTGGGCAAAATGTTTAGCATCTAGTCAGACTTTCATATATCAATACTTGCCTACAACATCTAAACACCTATTGCAATATTGCAGTACTTTTTGTTAAAAAAAAAAAAAAAGTACATCCTTTAACAAGGGATCAATCTTTTTTTCTGAAATGGAAAAATCTAAGAGCACTTAGACTCCTAACACATAAAATGAGGAGGCTGCCTGTCTGGGGTCTCCTTCAGGTCCGAAGTTTAGAAATTTAATGTTAGCAGTTTGCACAATACATATGGCACTCACACAAGCAAAGGTCTGGCATTGTGGTGCAGTGGGTTAAGCTGCTGCCTACGACATCCTGCATCCCATATGGGTGCTGATTCATGTTCCAGCTGCTCCACTTCCAATCCAGCTCCCTGCTAATGCACTTGGGAAAGCAACAGCAGATGGCCTAACTTCTTGGGTTCCCGCCACCCACATGGGAGACCCAGGTAAAGCTCCTGGCTATGACCTGGCCCAGTACTGACTGTTGCAGCCATTTAAGGAGCAGCAGATGGGAAGATCTCTCTGTAAATCTGCCTTTCAAATAAGTCAATTAAAATATACATGTTAAAAAGCTAGAATGATTCATCCATCCCCCCACATTAGAAAAATGGATTAGGAATCAGTTGATTTTACAAAGGTAAAATTTAACAAAGTAACTGTTTCACAGATCTTTAAAATCTAGAAAAAATTTACTAGGAAATACCAAAAATCCTAAGATTCAGTACTGTTTACCACAAGCATAAAGCATTGGGAACATTCTAACATTACACAGGAGGAAATAACATGCTATTTTAAAAGAAAGGTTAAGTATCGATCCCTACTTGCATGGTTGGTATCTTAGTAATATTCTTAATCTCCTTGTTTAGAATATTAAAAACAAAAAAACTGAAAAGCCACAACAATCCCAGTGTTTAACTGACAGGATTATAAGATTGTTAGTTTCAATTTTGTGTTTAGCAATATTTTCCAAATCTCCTACAAAAAACTTTAATTTGTAAGAAGATAAAAGTCTAACTTACATCTTTAAAGAAATAATCTGCAATAATTAACAAACAATTGTTTACCAGCTTTTGGGCAGCCTCACTTTATCATTTTTTTTAAGATTTATTTATTTATTTGAAAGAGTTACAGAGAGAGAGAAGAGGTAGAGAGACAGAGAGAGAGAGGTCTTCCATCTGCTGGTCCACTCCCCAGCTGGCCGTAATGGGCGGGGCTGCACCAATCTGAAGCCAGGAACCAGGAGTTTTTTCCAAGTCTTCCACATGGGTGCAGGGGTCCAAGGTCTTGGGGCATCTTCTACTGCTTTCCCAGACCATAGAAGAGAGCTGGATTGGAAATGGAGCAACCAGGACACCAACCAGTGCCCATATGGGATGCCGGTGCTGAGGCTTTATCCACTTTGCCACAGCACCGGCCCCTTGCTTTTATCATTTTTATCATGAAATCCTCTGAAGACATTTCTTTCTTTCTACTGTTACTTTAACTGGAAATCTGAGATCACCAATGTGGAATTTTACAAAAGCAGGCATGAGAAATATTAAATTTCACTTTATGTCATGACTAGTAATTTCATAAAACAAATGCAAAATAAAGATTTGCCAAATTATATAAATCAGTGACAAGGGGTGGGTGTTTAGTATAGCAATTAAAATGGAGTTTGGGATGCCTCCATCCCGTATCAGAGTGCCTTGGTTCAAGTTCTACTCTGCTCTGGATTCTAACTCTACTCATAAGCACTCTAGGAGGCAGCAGTGATGGCTCAAGGGTTGGGTCTCTGCCTCCCCTATGGGAGAAAAGATGGAAGTTCCAGGCCCCTGGCTTCTGACTGGCCCACTCTTGGCTGCTGCAGGCATCTGGAGAACGAAAAAGGGATGCAAGGTTCTCCATCTCTGTTCCTTTTGAATAAACAAGCAATTAAAACAAAAATAAGTTATTTCGATATTGGTCACTCACTTATGAAAATCTAATTTAAGTATGGAGTCTGACAGATATGAGTTTAAATCTTGTCTCTGCCTTTTACTACCTGTGTTACCTGGATCAAGTAACTTACTCATACTAACACTAGGTTTCTTCATATGTAAAATGGGAACATACCAAACAAAATGTTGAGAGAATTAAATGAGATGGATACAAAGACTTAAAGTACACACTACAGATAGAGTCCTCAGTAAATATGAAGTTACTTTGTCAATAAATATCATTTAGATCTTACTGGGGGTTATAATTTTACCAGAATATATATTCAAGCACTAGAAGTAGCCTGTTTCTTTCATGATCCCACAAACACTTTCAGTTTTTGCAATTCCTGAGGTACCACGGATCATCGGCATGCCAGTGTATGCAAGTATTAAGTACCCAGGCAAAAAGAACAGCAATATATGTTAATACATATCAAGTGATAAATAAATATATGCCTTTCTAAATTTACCTGTTAAAATTTAAATCAAAATATGTGAAATCGACATAGATAGAAATTTACACGTGAGGACCACCATCAAAGTTCCTAACCTTCAGCAGTGTGAAATCTATGAATGTTTTCCAAAGGAGTCTGGAGTGATGATCATCATCACCCACTGTCCATGAGAAACACAACATGGCATCATGAAAGGGAAATTATTTACAACCTGGATAGCTAGGATGCAGTCTGGGTCTTCCTACCTGTGGGAACCTCGGAAAAGGCACTAAGATAACTCCGCCTGTATCTCCGATCTAAGAGGGCCCTACCTCCTCTGCGGGAACGACCCTGAGTGCGCTTAGGAACTGACAACCCCGCCCCGCACTACACTTGAGGTTTTGATTATGGAGAAACTTTTTAAAGAAATGATACATCAGCTCTCACTCCACAGAACACATCAAAGCTCTTACCACTCGTCACTGGACTCCACCACACTGTGTGACGATTCCTTTTCATTTCAAGCCGCCCAAGTCCAGAAGGCAGAGAGCCACTTGTGCCCACGACAACTTAGCTCCCGTATCCAAGTATCGGCCCCGATAACAAGAACGTCACGAGGCCGGACAATGTAGCAACGTTCTCTGCGGACTCTAAATCATCACACACTCCAAAACCACGGAAGTGCCCGCAAGGAAGCGTCTACATTCAGAGCGGGCAAATGCACTTCCATTCTCACGGCGCTCAGCGGTCAGCTGGTCCCGAGCAACCATACCCCGGACGCACGCACGCACAACACAGAGCTAACAAACAAAACCCTGCTGACCCGTGTCAGGGACTCAAAGCAAAAGAAACCACACCAGCAACCAAGGGCTCCGACCTTCCGGCCTTCCTCTCCCGGGTTAAGTAAGCGAATTCTTTCGGGGCAGGCACGCAGAGAGCAAAGGTTTGAAATAGGGGTCAGTTCAGTTCGTCCGCTCCGGCCGTCACCTGGCGTGGCGTTAGCTGCGAAGTTTCCAAGTCAACAAAGAAGTTTCGCGGCGAGGCGGCAGGGCCCGAAGGGACAGACCACAAGCCGAGCGCTGCGGCGACGCCCCCTCCTCCGGGCCCCGGCCAGGCGGCGGCCCCCTCCTCCGGGCCCCGGGGCCCGCGGACCCGACGCCCCTGGTCCCCTCGGGGTCCAGGCCCCTGGCGGGCGCGGGCGGGAAACCGAGAGGGGGAGCTCAGGGGGGTCACCTTCCGCCCGCGCGCGCGCGCGGCCCGGCCGCCCCTCGCGCCAGCCCGACGGGCAAACGGACCGGCGCCCGCCCCCGGCCACCGCGCCGCCCGCCTCGAGCGTGGCGGGCCCGGAGCGGGCGCGGGCCCCAGCCCGAGCACCGCTGCAAGGGCGCGGGCGCCGCGGCGCCGCCGACTTACCTTCCTCGGCGGTGTCCATCTTGTCTGGGGGGGCGGCGGTGACGCAGCCGCGAGGCTCCCGCGGCCGGGGCCCGAGCCTTCCGGCGGGGCGGGGAAAGAGGGAGGGGGGAGAGGGGAGGAGGGAGAAGGAGCCGGGCTCGGGCAGGTGCGGGTGCTCAGGTGCGAGAGAGGAAGTGAGAGGAAAGAGAGAGGGGGAGAGGGAGAGGGAGAGAGGCTGACAGAAAGCGAGCGACAGGGGAGGGGGAGGGGCGGGAGCGCCGAGGGGCGAGGCTTGGGCGGGGCGCCGGGGCGGAAGGGGTGGGAGCGCCCAACGACAGGTGGCGTCACTTCCGGCGGCTGCGCGGCGCATGCTCCGTGAGCGGCGGGGTCAGGAGGCAGTGGGCCCGGTTCCCTGCGGGTGGCGGGGCTACAGGGCCACCTGCGGCTCGTCGAGAAGGCGGAGCGGGACTGCGGGGCTGAGCTCTCAGCAAGTGCTGAGCTTCGATTGCTGCGACTTCTGGGACGAGGGAGCTAGGCGCGGAGCCCGGCTCTGCGCCTGAGCCTCTGGCGCCGCGTGTCCCAACTGGGCCCTGGAGTAGGCATTTTTTGCTTGCCATCCGGGTAGTTCCGATCCGCGTTTTGCGGTGTACTTGAACATCCCCGGAAGGTAGAACGACTAACATTGACTTTACCAGAAATCCTCTCAGACTTTGGCAGTTCGCTGTCAAGACGATTTCACGAAATGGCTGAGGTGGGGTGGACGCAGAATGCGTCTCGCAGGGACATAACCCGGTACCGACAAGGGCTTCATTTACCGACTTAGGAATGCTCACCTGGCCAGAGCGAAACTACTGATGCGAGATGATGAGAGATCTGGCGCTGCCCCGTCAGGACGCCGCCCTTCCTCACCCCTCTCTAAATGAGGAAATATAGAAAATACGGACTAGAAAGGCCCCCACATTAGAATTGCCTAGGCAGAAACAAATCATTCCAACCTCAAAAAAAGGGGGGGGGGGTTAAACAATATGCAGCTGATTTAGCAAAAATCTGTACAAGAATGCGAGCAGTCTCTGTAAAGCCTATGAGAAGCAATTGGGAAAACACCCCCCCCCCCCCAATCAGAATAAGGATTAGAATAAAAATAGTGAAATGGAGTCCTTCAAAAAGTGAGCCGGCCTTGGCTAACGTCTATGATTTGACCAATGTCGCAGGGAAGAATTCGTGATGGAGACCCACTGGTTTACAGGGCTGACCTGGAGAACTGAGCAGACAGCCTGGCCACTTACATATGTTCATTTGATCTCCCAAGAAGCTAAGTTTGAGAGCAGCTCTGGTCCTCAATCCCCATCCCTCTGACCCAAGCCAATGGGAGCTCAACTTCCCGTAAGGCCTATGGCAAAGCACTTCGCAGTAGCGGAGACCAGGGGAGCAGAGCAGAACTGTCTGACAGCACAAGAGGGAAGGATGTGAGAGAGTCAGGTGTGCTGAAGGAAATAGTAACAGTACCTGTGGCCAGGTATGTGAACCTCCAGGCAGCAGAGCTAGGTCAGCCTGGAGGGCGGTGTGTGGATGGGGGTGGGGGGTGAGGGGGCTCCCTCTTTTCATCTTTAGGTACCTTCCCTTGTGATGCTCCAAGGAAAGTTAACTGTGTAGCTAATTCCCCCTTCATCATAATGCCCATTTTTTTCCCTTTAGAATTTGGGGGTTGAAGCTGAGCAATAACCAACTTTTGTGGGTCTCTCCAACTCAACTGGTCCTCTCAACAGCCCTTTGACAGATTTCTACCAACTGGAAGCCAGCTGAACTGTTAAGCAAAAGGGAGGCAGGTGCCACTGAAGTGAACAAACTGTGAAAAGGCTGGGGATCTGCTTGGCCTCGAGGATTACTAAAACCAGAGTTGTTCCCTGGTGGCCCTTCCTCTTCCCTCAGCCTAGCTTCTCTCCACATTGATGTCATGCCTTAGACCACCTCTCTGCATGTGGCTGGAAATGAGTTTTCCACATCTTCAGCATCATCATCAGACAGGCAGAAGGGGATGATCCTGGCCGCAGCTTAAGCATTCCCTGGGAAGGACATGTTATTAAATTGGTCCAGCCACTTGCCCACCCCTGAACGAAATGATTGTGCTCGTAAGTGGGATCTGTGAGAACGTGGACACTGCCAGGCTGGAACGGTGACACTGCATTGTTGAAGTGGAGAGAGAACGTTTCCCACAAGATGGGGGAAGACAAAAACGTAGATGCCCATTCGAATTAGAATTAGAACTAGAACTAGAATTCTCATTATTAAACATGAGAACACTAAGGTGGTAAAGTAGTAGTGTCATGTGCCACACTTTTATCCAATGTTAAAATTGATACAGAATTTCAACCTGAAGGAGGTTATTTCAGTTGAGAGAGACACTTTATGAAATGTATAGTGTCCACCTGATTCCAGCTCCATGTATGTGTGTGTGCACTGTACCATTAGGATACTACAGTCCAGTGATGCTGGTTGTCCATCAAGTGATAAAATGAGTAAGAGAGGACATGTAGGAGGACACAGTATAATAATTTTTTGAACATTGTAACAAACTAGCAATAACAGTAATTAAAGTTTCCATTAAATCCAATGAACATCAATAGCAATCTTGTGAGGTAAATATGAATATCATACCCATTGCACAGATGAGAAGTCAGACCTGCAGTTGACTAAGTAACTAGCCCTGGGCCATATACCTATTAGCAGAGTAAGCTGAAGTCAGACGTAGGTGTGTCCAACTCCAGACTTCCTAGTTTTGAAACTCACTGATTTGTCTTTAGCAGCCACCCTCTTGGCATTGCCATTAAACTCTCAATGCTTTTACACCAAACACCTGACCTTATGACAACTGTATAAAATTGCTGCTGCAGAAGCTGAGACAGGATCATTAGGCAAGTGTATTATGGAAAGCTGAACATTACTGACTTCAACACATTACTGAAGGCAATGTCTGACAATTACTTTAAACTCTTCCCCCTCAACTACCCTTCCCTTTTCTTCTCTTTTCATCTGCTCTTCCTTCCTATCTTACGTTCTTTTCCATCTTCCTTTCCTATTTCTCTTCATTTCTTGAAGTGAGACTGAACAGTGATGTACACAAGAACATGGGGACTTTAAAAGGAGGGGCATGCAAGTGGTACAGAGAAGACGGATGTGATTGGGTAATTGATTCAATTGAGATTGTAAATGAGAATAATGACCAGATTGCTCACTATTGGAGAAAATGCAAGCTTTGAAAGGAGAAATGTTAGAAATAACCTGGAGATGTTGGATTGCAATGTAATATCATTTTGAACCAACTTTTAAAAAAGTCCAGACAGCTATGGAAATACAGTCATGCATCACATAATGACGTTTCAATCAATGACAGACCACACTTACAGTGATGGTCCTTTAAGATTATAATGGAACTGGAATATTCCAATCACCTAGTAACGCTGTAGCCATTGTAACAGCACATTATTTGTGTGTTCATGGTGATGCTGGTGTAAACAAAGTGCATGGCTGATGGTGTGAAAGTGTAGCACATACAATCATGTACAGTCCGTAATATTTGATAATGACAATAAATGACTGTTGCTGGTTCATACATTTAATATACTATACTTTTTATCATTATTTTAAAGTGTACTCCTTATTAGATAAAAGAGGTCACTGTAGAACAGTATACCTTGTTACACCAGCAGCAGCCTCATACATTTCCTGTTGACTATGTCTCATTGCATCATTTTTTTCTCGTGCTTAATTTGCTCTGGTGTTATTTTCTTCATCATAGCCCTAGGCGCAGTAGGCTATCCCGTAATACATATCACATAGTCTAGGCATGTAGTCAGCTATACTGCCTAGGTCTGTGGAAGTACATGTTGTGATGTTCCCACAATGATGAAATTATTGACACATTTCTCAGAATGTGTCCTTGTTAAGTGACATATGATTTTAGTTATGTATTCATGTGCATCAACATAAATGTTCTTATATATGTAGTATATAAGATGGGAGTTAAAAGATAAGATTACTTTGGTGCAAAAATTTTGAAATTCATTCATAGTTTTTCATAGCATGTATCCTCCACATTTTTTAAATATTTATTTATTTGAAAGGCAGAAATACATAGAGAGAAGAGAGCGAGAGAATTTTGTAGCTATTGGAGATGGCTAGAAAATGGCCATAACAGCTGGAGCAGAGCTATCTGAAGCCAGGAGCTTCTTCCAGGTCTCCCACATGGGTGCAGTGGCCCAAGTATTTGGGTCATCTTCCACTGCCTTACCACGTGTATTTGCAAGGAGCTGGATCAGAAATGGAGCATCCAGGATTTGAACCGGTACCCATATGGGATGCCAGCACTGCAGGTGGAGGCTTAACCTTCTTTGCCACTGTGCCGACCCCCTCCGTAAACTTCTTGGAGGCCCTTCACATCCAGTGGTGGGGAACATTGAGCCTGCGGCTGTACAAGGCCAATGAAATCATCTGGTCTGGCCCTGTCAAGACAACCGCAGGTAGGACTCAAAATTCAACAAATCTATAGCAAGCTAATTTTTATTTTTTTTAATTAGTTATTTAAATGGCAGAGTTACAGAGTTAGAGGCAGAGGCAGAAAGAGAGATCTTTCGTCCACTGGTTCATTCCCCAAATGGCCACAATGGCCAGGGCTGGGCCAGGTGGAAGCCAGAAGCCGGGAAATCCATCCGAGTCTCACATGTGGATGGCAGGGCCCCACGCGCTTGAACCATCTTCCACTGCTTTCACAAATGCATTAACAGGGAACAGGATCCACTCTGCCTGTCAAAAAAAAAAAAAAAAAAAAGAAGAAGAAGAAGAAGAAGAAGTAGAGCATCCAGGACTTGAACTAGCACTCAGATGGGATGTCAGCATTACAAGCAGCAGCTTAAACTGCTGCACTTACAGTGCTGGCCCCAGCAGGCTAATTGTTAAGTTGATAATTTTGTATGGCCGTTGAATGTTAAAATTTCCAAATGGTCCTTGTCTGTCAGAAAAAAGATTCTGGGCTGGTACTGTTGACATAGTGGGTAAAGCTGCCACCTGCAGCACTGGCATCCCATTGGGTGCCACTTCAAGTCCTGGCTGCTCCACTTCCAATCCAGGTCCCTGCTAACGCACCTGGGAAAGCAGCAGAAGATGGCCCAAGTACCCGGAAGAAGCTCCTGGCTTGGGATGAGCCCAGCTCTGGCTGTTGTGGCCATTTGGGGAGTGAACCAGCAGATAAAGATCTCTTTCTAACTCTCTGTTGCAAATAAATAAATAAATCTTTTTAAAGAAAAATGTTCCCCAGCTCTGAATATATAGTACCAGGGCATAAGAGTTTCCTGTTTCTGTTTTTGGAATGGATCAACATGCGGCTCTGAGCACACTGAAATACACACATTTTGGATTCTAATGCCAAGCTCAACTAAATTGAACCAGGACTGCTTGCAGAAATGACAGATTTTAGAGCTGGAGCAGAAAAACTACATGTTCAAGGTTTATCTTGTAGTTTTTCTGCTGACAGATGCATGATAGGTGCATGTAAGGTAGACACAGAACCCAATCCAAAGGGGACTCACATTGGCAAATTGAGGGCAAGTTGAGTATGAAAATAAATATTTACAGTAACAAGATGCAGCCTGCTGAATAAAATAGAAATCCATGAGCTCATCATGATATAAGTTAAAAAAATCAATGTAGAAAGATGATATAAATAGAAAATCATTTGTAAACCGCCGTAATGGATCAGGCTGGAGTTGTCAGAGAAGGCCAAGACTGGTGAGTGAAGTTTTGATGAGGAGCAGGCTTTTGACATATTGTTGGAATTATTTTCCAAAAGTTACAAAAGAAAAAACAATGACTTTATAGTGAAGACATCTTAATATCACCAGTGCTGGGATGGATCAACGTAATGAGGAAAGCAAGTTTTGCCAGGAATGCATGCTGGGCTGGTCGAGAGGGAACTAATGGCAAAATCAGGCCAAGGGTCATCTACAGAATGTAAGGCCCATAATCTTTCAAACTATCAAAGACACCACCAGATGTGTTGGGACAGTTGGCAGAAATTAAATTCAAAAATTCTGTGACAGTAGTAATATAGCATTTCCTGATAATGCCCTGTTTAGGGAACTACACACTGGAGTATTGAAGGATGATGCCAGATCAGATCTGACACTTATTCTCAACTGATTCAGAAAAAGAATGAGGGGAGAGCACCACCGTTGTCGCATAGGGCTAAGGGCAATATGGAAGTTTTGTACTGTACTGCAACCCTCCTCTAAATTAGAAATTGTCCTAAAATCTTTTAAAATGTTTTTATTTATTTTTACTTGAAAGGCAAAAAGCCAGAGACAGAAATAGATCTTTCAGCTGCAGTTTCACTACCCAAGTACCTACAACAGCCGGGGCTGGACCACACAAAACCAGGAGCCCAGAACTCAATCTGATCCTCTCACATGGGTAGCAAGGACTCAGCTACGTTAGCCCTTACATGCTGCCCCCCAGGGTATGTGTTAGCAGGAAGCCAGAATTGGGAGCAGAACTGGGACTCAAACCTACACTAATATGCGACAGAGGTGTCCCAAGCAGTGTCTAAACCACTTTGCCAAATGCCTGTCCCTAAAAGTCAATTTTTTAAATTAAAATTACTAAATATTGATACAACTCTAAAACATCAGTTCTCAAATTTGGTGTGGGAGCAGGGGAGTGTCTCAGTCACTGGCATCTCTCACAGTCTCATAAAATCAATAAGCTTTGTTCCCAGAAAAGTTACACACATACTGCCTACAGTTTCCAGGGGAGAGGTGTCATGAATGTCACAGTCTGTACACAGACTTCAGGTTAGAAGAACCTCCCATTTAAAGTGTTAAGGAAAATGGTGATGCTCACTTCCCTTTCCAAGAAAATGCAGGCCAGATGATTTAGAACAACTATTGAAAATGCTAGATCCATGTATATTAAAAACTGAAGGAGAGCTGAGAGCAGCAGTAAAGCCAGCTACCAGGACAAAAATCTAAGGACTAAAGGGAACGCCAAGGGTAAATGGATCATGGAAACTGCTTTTGCTCTGCTGACCCAGGCGGAATTAAACTTCTACTGTGACATTTTCCAAGACATGAAGGACAATGGTCAAAGTCCCAAGCTTGCCAAGGGTGAGACATCTGTTCAGAGATTTGCCCTGAAGGGGTTCCCCCAACACCCTCAAGGCTGCTCTCCCAAGGGAATGGAACTAGAAGTAAATCTGAGGGCCGTCGCTGTGGCATAGAAGGTTAAGCCACCACCTGCAGTGCTGGCATCTCATGTGGGCACCGATT